GTGTGTGTGTGGGAGTGTGTGTGTGTGTGTGTGTGTGTGTGTGTGTGAGTGAGTGAGCGAGCGAGCGAGCGAGCGTGCGTGCGTGTGTGCGTGCACTTGCACTTACACAACTATCTTTATGAGAACTAGTTTGAGTTGTAGACCATCAGAGGTTGGACAAAGAGAGTAAAATACCTTTTGGCTGGTTTGTGTCATTTGTGTCTGTCTGTGTGTGTTTGTCTTTGCAAATGCCAGTGAAATGTTGACAGATGTAGACTGAATATTATCTTTGGCTGCATTAAAGTTCATTTAGGGCTTTTAGTAATTAACGTTTGAAAAAGAGTGAATCACTTTGTTGCAGAGAGTCTACTAAATGAATAAATGTAAATGTTATTAAATATTTAATTAAAACTTAATTTGCTCATTTCATTAATCTTAAATTATTTTATATTTTTTCCTTCTAGATTCAGTCCTCCATCTTCATCTGTTTCTAGTCGTCTGTCCAAATATAATCATGTTCTTTGCTTTTGTCTTCTGGGGTGTTTCTGAGGGTAAGTGTTTCTAATAATTACAGAATATTTTAATTAATCTGAAAATTACACCATACCTACTTACATGACACTTAATGGATTAGTTATGTTTTATATTCAATGTCATATTTTTAAAGAAGGTCTGTTCTCAAAAGCTTTACAGCAGTGATTGAATCAGCATGTGTTTGATGTGAGATTTGTTTGTTAATGCAGTGGCAGGAATAAGTTTGTGAATATATTTCTGCATTGATTACTCATAAAATGTGGTCTGATCTTCATCTAAGTCACAGTTATAGACAAACACAATCTGAGAGGACTAATAACACAGACACAACTGTACTTGTCAGAATATTATTGAAGACACTTAATGACTCATAGGGCAGGTTATAGGTAAGACACAATCTCTATTACAACTTCTCCAAAAGCTAATTGGAGTCAAAAAAGGAGATGAGATTGAAATTGTGGGTTGCAAAGATGCTGTTCTCTTTAAATAAAGGCACACAAAGCCTGGTTACTGCAAATCTGTTCCTCGCAAGAAAGATCGGTTAGTGTGAACCATGCTTCAATCTGAAAAGCTTTCATAGGACCTCACAACACATTAGAGAGATGCACAAAGTTTGAAAATGCTAAAGACCTGGGTGTTCACATCAGTCCACGCTGAGGTGTCCTGTCTACAAATGTAGAAAATTCTGGGCTGTTGCTGCTCTCCCTCGCAGCGGGTCTCCAGCAAAGATCACAGCGAGAGCACAACAGGTTTCTGAACGAGGTGACAGGGAACCCCAGAATAGCAGCTAAAGACCTCCAGAAAACTCTCAGACTGTGAAAGTCTCTGTTCATGTGTCCAAGATCAGAAAAACACTGAGCAAGGATGCTGTTCATGAAAGGATGACGCAAAGGAAACCACTGCTGTCTAAATAAATAAATATTGAGGCATGTCTCTTTTTTGCCCAAAACCACTGGATACTCCATAACACTTGTGGGAATGTGTTCTGTTCACAGCTGAGACAAAGGTTGAACTTTCTGGCAAATATGTACAACACTATACAGTATTCTGGAAGAAAAAGGGCACTGCACACCAACACACAAACCTCTACTCAACTGTGAATCATGTGAAAGGAGCATCATGGTTTAGTGCTGTTTTCTGCCTCAGGGCCTGGAGAACAATGAGTTCAAAAGTGTTTCAAGACATTTACAGGAGAATGTCAGGACAGCAGTTTGTTTGGTGAGCCAACAAGACAAGACAATGACCAAAAGCACAGTAGTAAATTTACTAAAGGATGGTGGAAAAAGAAGAAAATACATGAGTCCTGACCTTAACCCTTGTGCACTGTTTGGGGTCTTTTTGACCCCCAATGATGTTTGCTGAAAAAAAAAATGTCATGAGACTTATGGTTGTCAACACTTGGTAGCTCTACAAATAAAAAAAATAAACTGGATTGATATCTGGTTGTATGTTAGTGTGGAAAAAAGTCACACTCATCGTGTTTGGGGTCTCTGGAGACTCCACATTTAAATGAATGAGGAACGATAAAATCAATACTTTTCTTTTTAATTTGTCAAATAAAATCACTACATCCACCACAATGCGGACCACAAAATACACGAAAATGAAGTGGCAACCCTTCCACACGTTCACAATGCAGAACAATTACTCGATTACACACACACCCCCAACCCCCCGAAAATCACCCATAGACATCAATTGAAGATTATAGAAATATAGATTTTTTTGGTTACATAATTTGTCAAAAATGTCAGTTACAATGCAGAACACACACACACACGCACACATGTACACACACACACACATATACACACTACTACACACATATAACACCACATGCAGGTTTGACTGCAATCGTGTCATAATTACAAAAAAAATGATATTTCAGTACAAAAAATGCTAAACTGACAAAGAGTAATTTTATATTATTACAATAATGATTGTGTAGTCTCTTAACATTAATCTAATAGAAAAACTTCTTCTAAAAAAATACAAAATATCTATACCTATGTGAAAATGGCAAATGAGCCATTGAGTAATGCTCTAGAGCCGTCTGGTGGCTGTAGTTAAAATTTCATGTTTTTTTTTATTTTAAAAGTGTTTGTTTTCAAATAGATGGAAACAATTTGGCATTAAACTATGGCACATTGCCCATGTTATCCTCATGCATTAAAATTAGAAATGTGGGTCTTTTATAAAGCGAATTTTACATTTAAAAAAAAATGTTTTTTATATAAAAACATATTAAAAATATTTTTTAACTCATTTATATAAATTTTACAAATATCATAAATCCTCCAAAAACTGCACAAATGTAGCGAAAAAAAAACATTAATAAACGGAGTAAAATTACATTTGTAAAAAAAAAAAATTTAAAACAATTATTCTGTAACAAAATTACATTTTGTTGTCTGGGGTCTCTGGAGACCCCAAACAGCATGAGTGTCACACCCAAACGAACAGTGCACACGGGTTAAGCACCAAATCAGCATATTAGAATGATTTCTGAAGTATCACGTGACACTGAAGACTGGAGTAATGATGCTAAAAATTCAGCTTTGCATCACAGGA